TCCTGCCCCAGGGGCTGGTCCCTCCTGATAACTTGCCCACAGTAGATAAGATGAGATCTCATCATCGTCATTTAAGGTGCATCCTGGCTGTTCTTTCTTCTGGCAGTTCACTGTATATACAACATTCTCTGCTAACACCAGATTTCAAATGCATCCGCTCTTCTTTAGTCTACCTAATTCATTGTCCAGCTTTCAAATGCGTATGTTGTTGTTCAGTGCCCTTGAGTCTATTCAAGTTTGTTGTTGTTGTTGTTGTTGTTGTTAAGCACCATCTAGTCGGTTCTGACACATAACGACCCTGTATAGGATTTCTGAGGAGCAGCTGGTGAGCTTGAACCGCTGACCTTGGGATTTAAACCAACCTTGTAGTTCAGTACACTAACCCACAGCACCACAAGGGTTTCCAGGGAACTGTTGGTGAGTTTGAACTGCTGACCTTGTGGTTCAAAGAGACCTTGTGATCCAGTGCTTATCCTATAGCGCCATACCAGGACTCCTAATTCATATAAGGCAATTGAAAACACCAGGACTTGGGTCAGGCACACCATAGTCATAAAAGTGACATCTTTGCCCAATGCCGTATGTCATTTGTTTTCTTGACTGCTGCTTCTATGGGCATTGATTATGGATCAGGAGCTCTGGTAGCACAATGTGTTAAACATTGGGATGCTAACCAAAAGGTCAGCAGTTTGAATTTACTAGCTGCTCCGAGGGAGAAATAAGAAGCAGTCTGTTCCCTAAAGATTTCCAGCCTTGAAACCCCCGCAGAGCAGTTCTACTGTGACATATGAGGTCACCACAAGTTGAAATTGACTCCACAAAAATGGGTTTGGTTTGGATTTTTATTGTGTATCCAAGTAAAATGAAATCCTTGACAATTTCAACACCAGTAGCATAGCGTCCAGCATCACAGCAACATGCAAGATACCACAGTACAACAAACTGACACATGAGATTTGCTTTATACCAAAGCCAATCCCACTGCCACTGAGTCGATTCTGATTTCTAGTGACCGTACAGGACAGAGTAGAGCAGGTCCAGAGTGTTACCGTCCAAGGCTGTACATCTTTTCGGAAGCAGACTCGTACATCTTTCTCCTGAGAAGCAGCTAGCTGGTGTGTACAAACCTCTTATCTTTCACCAGTTAGCAGCCAAGTGCTTAACCACTGCACCACCAGAGTTCCTTTAAAGGGTCTCTCAAATATACAGTGAAGACACAGTATCCACCTTACTTCTCACTCTCTAGCCCAGTCAGACTCTAAAGCGCCATTTTTGCATTGCCTATCACATTTGTCTATCGATTATGTGTTGCTATGATGCTGAATAGATTTCAAAAGAACTTCCAGACTAAAATAGACTAGGAAGAAAAATCTGGTGATATCCATCCAAAAACTAGGCAATAAAAACCCTGTGAATTACAATCATTCAATCTACAACCACTTATGGAGATGGCACAGGGCCAGGCAGCATTTTGTTCCATTATGCATGTGGTTGTCATGGGGCCAGCAGCCCCTGATATCAGCTAATCATAATCTCAAGCCTTGATGGATGGAGTTCAGGCAGAATAAGGAGTTACTGCCCTCTGCTGGTCCTGAGGACACACCTGTCCATCCATGCAATGGCCTTGCACTTGCATCCTTGCAGTGAGGAAACTCTTGCAGGAAACCACACAGAAAGGAGGCAAATTTTATGTTTGGCAAAATAATAATAATAATGATAGAAGCATTTGAGAATTATTTCTTATGCACATATAAGATTCCATAACCATTATGACTGTCTAGTCATCAAAAGTATTTGTTCTATAATTACTTCACCCTATAAATTCTCACCTAACACAAACTGGAGGGCCTAAATCTTTGGGTTGTTGTCACTGTGTTTTTTATTTTTTGTTTGTTTGTTTTTAATGTTTTATTGTGAATTATGTGATACTTTACATGGGAAACATTAGTTTTACATTCATCCTATCGTATATTGTTTCATTGCTATGGTTATAATCCCCGCCCGCCCCCCCATGCATCATCAACCAACCAAAGGGTATACACTACAAGCCTGCCCCCACCCCCACCTGGTCATTAGCACACAGTCCCTCTCTCCCTCTCTGTGTCTAAAGTCCCCAACTGCTCCATCTCTCCACGTCATTGACTCCGCCTCCATCTCAGGCATCACTGCTTCTCTGGGTAGGGTCCCGCTCTCTGCTCTTCTCCCTTGATGGTCCCAGGGACCTCTACTCCTAGGCTGAAAAGTTAATAACTCCTCTGCTTGCTACAAAACATCTACCTTTACATTTCCAACCCTCACAAACAGTCCTGATAACAATTACTCCCTATTGTATTACAAGAGACCCATCTGCATTTCATTTCATCAGCCCTGCCTAGACAGATTGGATACTACTCAGCGGAGAGTCTACCGTTCTTCACGCCCTCTGGATCTAGGTTCCTTCTTGAAAGCTTGTAAGCCAGTCACTTCTTGCCTTTGTAGCACCCCCATTTTGAGTAGCCAACTTCCAAGTTGCCCATCCCTATCTACTCTGTGTATGGAGGGGGTGGGACTGATCCTTGCTGTAAGGATTTGTTCCTTCTTTTGAGCTACTACATCCATAGGTGTAGGTCAAGTTCATCAAATTGTATCAGATTACTCTTTTTTCCCTCTTCTTTCTCCTTTTGGTTGAGCTCTGATCATCCAGTCATTGAAGCTAGGTCAGGTGGGTATTATCTGCAAGTGCAGAAGATATTATCTTCTTGTGCATATGCCCTCTCTTCTTATCAGCTGGACGCATCACTCTCCACTCTAGTCCTCTGTGGCTATGTCACTGACTCTGGGCCCAAGAGTCCCCAGGTCTTGACACGCTGCTGGCCAACCAGGTCTCCACCCAGGTTCACAGGAATCTATTGAACATTTTAGGGCTTAGCTTGCAGCTTCATTGCTGTTTTCCCCTCATTTCCCCTTATCAGTGATGATTACTGCATTTTTAAGAGTTGATATGGACTCTAAGTATGCTAATGGGAAAGGCCATTAAAAATTACATTTTTATCTTACTTGAAATTCATGCCTTGAAAATCCCCTTTCAAAATAGGCCTGTGCACTGCTGCTGAAGTAACTGCTACTTCTCAAAGCACTTTGGGGGCAGTGGGGAGAGTACAACCCAACTTTCAAGTATCTTTATATAGAGTGTAAAAGTACCATGTGATACACCGTGTGGCTTCTGCTTTTGTGTTCACAGAACCATACACATTTTGTTCCTGACTCCCCACAGCTCTGTCTTATATGAGCAGACAGGCATTTGTATTTGGTGTTTACATTGTGATGGATTTCATTATAGGCCTTAATGGTCTGGTGTGGTGCTACAAAATAATACACTGGACCACAAGGTGAGTGTGAACCACAAGGTTGACGGCTCAAAACTACCCACGACGGCTCGGAAGCCCTATACAGAGTTGCTATGGGTCGGAACTGACTTGATAGCACTTACCAACAACAGCAGCAGCAACAACCAACTCTGTAACGTGTATATCTGTATTTTGCTAAAGATGATACAAAAACGGCTTCAACCATACATTGACGGATTCAGATGCGAACATGGAAAGAGAGATAGCATTGCTGATGTCAGATGGATCTTGACTGAAAGCAGAGACTACCAGAAAGATATTTACCTGTGCTTTATTGACTATGCAAAGACTTTGGATTGTGTGGATCATGACAAACTATGGACAACATTGCAAAGAATGAGTATTCTGCAACACTTAAGTATACTCATGAGGAACTTGTACGTAGACTAAAAGGCAGTTGTTTAAACAGAACAGGGGAACACCAAATGTTTTAAAATTATGAAGGGTGTGTGCCTGGGTTGAAATCTTTCACCATGCTCATCCGAACTGTATGCTGAGCAAATAATCTGAGAAGCTGTGTTCTATGAAGAAAAACATGGTATCGGGATTGGAGGAAGACTCATTAATAACCTGTGATATGCAAATGTATAACCTTGCTTGCTGAAAGTGAAGAGGATTTACAATATGTACTGTTGAAGATCAAAGACCACATTCTTCAGTATGATTACAACTCAATGTAAAGAAAAAAATCCTCACCACTGGACCAATAAACAACATCCAATATACATGGAAAAAAGATTGAAGTTGTCAAAGACTTCATTTTGCCCAGATCAACCATCAGCACTTAATGGAAGCAGTAATCAAGAAATCAAACAACATATTGCATTAGGCAAATCTACTGAGCAGACCTCTTCAAAGTGTTGAGGAGCAAAAATGTCAGTTTGAGGACTAAGGTGTGCCTGATCCAAGCATTTTCAGTAACCTAATATGCATATGAATGTTGGACAGTGAATAAGGAAGACCATAGAAGAATTGATGCTTTTGAGTTATGGTGTTTGAGAATAGTAAAAGTACCATGAACTACCAAAAGAACAAACAGATCTGTATTGGAAGAATTACAGACAGAATGCTCCTTGGAAGCCAGGATGGCCAGAGTGGCTCTCATACTTTGGACTTAATATCAAGAGAGACCAGTCCCTGGAGAAGGATATTATGTTTTGTAAATGGAGGGTTGGAGAAAAAGGGGAAGACTTCCAACGAGATGGATTGGCGTAGTAGCAATAGCAGTGGGCTCCGGCGTAACAATGAGTGTGAGGTGTTGTGCACTGGGTCACTATGAGTTGGTATCGACTCAGTGGCACCTAGGAGCAGCAACAACTATAGTACCTATTCTGTGCCCAGTGCTGTGCTAAGAACTTTCATAAATTCTCTAATTCATGTTGCAACTTCTATGTTTTTAGATGTTGTTATGACCATTTCATTAAAGTTAACTGATACCATAAGGGATTTGATAGCAAACCCAACATTACCAGTTATAAAAATGAGTAAGTTGCTAACTGCAAAACCTTTAGAGAAATCCTTTGATCATATCTGCCATTAACTGTCCTTTGTGACTTTTCAGAACTATAATAAGTCTGTCAGCCCCATGGTGATGAATATTGTTTGTTTTCACAGAAACTTGCCCCTGGAGTCAGCCAGTTTGCTTATACCTGTGTACAGGACCACCCCATTTGGACAAATCAGCAATTCTGGGAGACAACCTTCTACAATGCTGCTCAGGAACAGGTTCGCTCCCTATATCTTTCAGCCAAGGAAGACAATCATGCCTCACATCTAAAACAAAAGGTAAGAGAAGAAAGATATTTATGTGGAATTAGGATTCTGCCTTTAAGAAGTCCTCATACAGATTGGGAGTCCTGCTTTGGCGCTGTAGCCATAAAATCAGTGGTTCAAACCCACCAGCTGCTCCTTGGAAACACTATACAGGTTATTATGGGTCAGAACCTTCTCGGTGGTGCTTAACGACAACATGTATATCCTCAGGGCAAAAAAGAATCTAGTTATTTCCTACCAGTTTATTTAGGATATACCTTAGGGAGCCCTGTGGCAAGCTTTTTTCTTTTGTTGATGTCTGTCATTACATTTTTCCACAATAATTTCTTAATATAGTTTCTAGCACTTTGTTGTTGTTGTTGCTATGTGCTGTTGAGTAGGTTCCGATTCCAGCGATCATATACAGGGTTTCTGAGGAGTGGTTGGCAGGTTTGAAATAATGATTTTGTGGTTAACAGTTCAGTGTTTATCCTACAGCACCACAAACAGGACTCCCTTTTAATGTTAGAATTGTTTTATTGTCTTTTCATAAATAGAAATTCAGTGGAAATAATTTTACAAAATTGTGCAGAAAGAAAAAACCTGAAATCATAGGTATTTGTCTCTGTCATTAACATATTTGAATAAATGTCCCATTAGGATACATTACTCTAAATGTCAAATTCAGTACTCCCACAGAGCTCTACCAGCTGTTCCTTGGGAAAAAGATGAGGCTTTCTGCTCCCAGAAAGATTTACAGCCTCGGTAACCCTGTACAGGGTTGCTATGAGTCGGAACCGACTCCATGGCACATAACCACCACTATCACCAAGGAGCTCTGGTCTGTCAGTTTGTCATACTGTGGTAGCTTGTGAGTTGCTGTGATTCTGGAAGTTATGCCACCAGTATTTTAAATACCAGCAGGGTCACCCGTGATGGACAGGTTTCAGATGAGTTTCCAGATGAAGACAGACTAGGAAGAAGTAGTGATGAACTACTTCCGAATATTTAGTCACTGAAAACCTTATGAATAGCAGAAAAACAGTGTCAGATATAGTGCCAGAAAATGAGCCCCTCAGGTTGGAAGACAATCAAAATGCGACTGAAGAAGAGCTATCTCCTCAAAGTAGAGTTGACCATGATGACACGTATGGAGTAAAGCCCAAGGGAGAAAAGCCCACAGGACCTTCATTTGCTAATGGGGAACAACTCAAAATAAAGAGAAACCGCTGTAAACATCCATTAATAATCAGAACATGGAATGTATGAATTATGAATCTAGGAAAATTAGAAATTGTCAAAGAAAAAATGGAACATATAAACACCAACATGTTTATGATATGAGGCATTAGTGAGCTGTAAGGTCATTTTGAATCTGACAACCACATGGTTTACTATGCTGGGAATGACAAATTGAAGAGGAATGGTGTTGCATTCATTGTCAAAAAGAACATATCCAGATCAGCTATGCAGTACAACACTGTCTGTGATAGGATAATATCCTTGAGCCTACAGGGAAGCCCAGTTAATACCACTATTATTCAAATTTATGCACCAACCACTAAAGCCAGTGAGGATGAAATAGAAGAATTCAACCAACTTCTTCAATATGAAATCAATCAAACATGCAATCAAGATGTATTGATCATTACTGGTGATTGGAATGTAAAGGTTGGGAGCAAAGAGGAAGGATCAGTAGTTGGAAAATATGACCTTGGTTATAGAAATGATGCTGGAGAACGCATGATAGAATTCTGCAAAATCGGTGATTTGTTCATTTCAAATACTTTCCTTAGACAGCATAAGAGATGACAATACACATAGACCTCACCAGATGAATGCATAAAAATCAAATTGATACATGAGCCCTGGATACCCACAGATAAATGTAAAAACCTTCCCTAAAAGCCGAGACTGTAAATTCCAAAAAGGCAAAGTTTCCCCCCCCCCCAAAAAAAGCTAAAGAGGATATAGAGAAACTCTGTTAACTGATGGTATGTGGAGGGGATTATAATCAATGTAATGAAACAAGGTATATGAATGTTTGAATGTGAAACCAATGATGTGCCCTGAAAACTTTCACTCAATCCACAATAAAAACCTTAAAAAAAAAAAAAATCAAATTGACTACATCTGTGGAAAGAGACAATGGGAAAGCTCCATATCATCAGTGAAAACAAGGCCAGGGGCAGATTGTGGAACAAACCATCAATTACTCATCGGCAAATTCAAACTGAAACTGAAGAAAATGAAAACAAGTCCATGAGTGCCAAAATATGACCTTGAATATATCCCATCTGAATTTAGAGATCATCTAAAGAACAGATTTAATACATTAAACACTAAAGACCGAAGACCAGAAGAGTTGTGGGATGACATCAAGAACATCATATAGAAAGAAAGCAAAAAGTCATTAAGAAGACAAGAAAGGAAAAGGTCAAAATGGATGTCAGAAGAGACACTGAAACTTGGTCTCCAGCATAGAGATGCCAAAGCAAATGGACGAAATGAGGAGGTCCAAGAGCTGAACAGAAAATTTCGAAGATCAGCTCAAGAAGATAAAGCCAAATATTATAACAAAATGTGCAAAGATCTGGAGTCAGAAAAACAAAAAGGAAAAACACACTCGCATTTCTTAAGCTGGGGGAACTAAAGAAAAAATTCAAGCCTCAGCTTTTGTTATTAAAGGATTCTCTGTGCAAATTATTGAATGATGCAGAAAACATCAAAAGAAGATGGAAGGAATACACAGAGTACTGTACCAAAAGAAAATGGTTGATGTTCAGCCGTTTCAAGGGGTAGCATATGATCAAGTCCAAGGTGTATTGAAAGAATTGGCTAAGAACAAGGCACCAGGAATTAATGGAATAAAAATTGAAATCTTTCAAGAAAGTGAGTCAGCACTGGAAGCAAACACTCACTCTCTCTACCAAGTAATTTGGAAGACAACTATCTGGCCAATGATTGGAAGAGATCCATATTTGTCCCCATTCCAAAGAGAGGTGATCCAACGGAATGCAGAAATCATCTGACAATATCTTTGATATCCCATGCAAGTAAAGTTTTACTGAAGGTAATACAGAAACGTCTGCAAGCATACATTGACAGAGAACTTCCAGAGGTTCAAGCCAGATTTAGAAGAGGCCGTGGAACAAGGAATATCAGTGCTGATGTCCGATGGATCTTGGCTGAAAGCAGAGAATACCAGAGAAATACCTGTGCTTTATTGATTACACAAAGGCTTTCGATTGTGTGGATCATGACAAGCTATGGACAACATTGCAAAGGAAGAGTATTCCGGAACACTTAATTCTGCTCTTGAGGAATCTGTACCTGGACCAAGAAGCAGTTGTTTGAACAGAACATGGGAACACTGAATGGTTTAAAATTAAGATAGATGTGCGACAAGGTTGTATTCTTTTACCATACTTATTCAGTCTGTATGCTGAGCAAATAATCCAAGAAGCTGAGTTATATGAAGAAAAATATGGCCTGGGGATTGGAGGAAGACTCATTAACAACCTGCGATATGCAGATGATACAACCTTGCTTGCTCAAAGTGAAGAAGACTTTAAAATATTTACTGCTGAAGATCAAAGAGCACAGCCTTCGGTATGGATTACATCTCAATGTAAAGAAACCAAAAATCCTCACCACTGGACCAATAAACAACATTCTTACTAGTGGAGAAAAGATTGAAGTTTTCAAGGACTTCATTCTTCTTGGATCAACTATCAACACTCATGGAAGCAGTAGTCAAGAAATCAAAGGATGTATTGCATTAGGCAAATCTGCTGCACAAGATCTTTTTAAAGCGTTGAAGAGCAAAGATGTCAGCTTGAAGACTAAGGTGTACTTGACCCAAGCCGTGGTATTTTCAATATCCTTAAATGCATGTGAAAGCTGCACAGTGAATAAGGAAGACCGTAGAAAAATTGATGCATTTGAGTTACAGTGTCGGAGGAGAATATTGAAAGTGCCATGGGCTGCCAAAAGAACCAACAAATCTGTGTTGGAAGAAGTGCAGCCAGAATGCTCCTTGGAGGCCAGAATGGCCAAACTTCGTCTCTCATACTTTGGACATATTGTCAGGAGGGACCAGTTGCAGGTGAAGGATATCACGTTTGGTAAGGTGGAGGGTCAGAGAAAAAAAGGAAGACCCCCAGAAAGATGGATTGGCAAAGTGGCAGCATCAATGGACTCAAGCGTGGAGTCCAATTGTGAGTTTGGCCCAGGATTGGGCAGTGTTTCTTTCTGTTGTGCACAGAGGTGTGCATAGAGTTAGTACAGATTTGATGGCATCTAACAACAACAAAGGAGTTCTGGTAGCATAGTGGTTACCAATCAAGCTGCGAACCTCAGTGTCAGCAGTTTGAAACTAACAGCTGTTCTCCGAGAGAAAGATGAGGCTTTCTGCTTCCATAAAGATTTACTATCTCAGAAACCCTATACGGGGCCGCTAAGGGTCAGAATCGACTTGACGGCACTTAACAATAACAACACTAAAAGAATATGACAGCTATAAAATCTAGGTTTTCTTTTAGTAACTTTCAGTATGTTTCTACATATTTTATCATCATGTAAGCAAAATAATTTTTCATGTGGGAGAATGATTTGAAATATGAAATTTTAAAATATTATTTACTAGCTATCTGGTCGTGTTACCTCTCACACAGTAAAAGTGACTGTTATGCCATTAAGTCGGCCCCAACTCACAGAGCCAGACAGGGCTTCCGAATCTCTAAATCTTTTCCCAGCAGAAAGCCTCATCTTTCTCTTGCAGAGCCATTGGTGGGTTTCAACTACTGACTTATTGGTTAGCAGTCCATTTCTAATTCTGCAGTGCCACTGGCACTCCGGCAAAATATTAGATGTGATTGTTTAAAGATTCCAATGTCAAATACATGTAGAGAGTACCTGACACATACCCACTACGGACAAGTTGATTCTGACTCATAGCAACCCCATAGGACAAAGTCAAACTCCCTAGTAGAGTTTCCAAGACTGTCATTTTTACAAACCTAGATTGGTACATCTTTCTCCCTCAGAGCAGCTGTTGGGTTTTCTGGCTGACCTTTTAGTTAGCCCTTGAGCACCTTAATCACTGTATCACCAGGGTTTCACCTAACACAAAGTAAATAATAAATATTAGAAATTATCATTCTCCTGAATTGACCTTAATGTCAGCCCTGAAGATCGGCTATCAAAATTGATTCATTTCAGAACTATTTTTATTTTCACATGCTAAGCTAATACATTGCTGCAGATTCTTACCATTGCCCTCCATTTAAATTGGCCGTGTGTGAGATAAATGAACCGAAATATATAACAGAAACTGCCATATAGTATTCAAATACTTCATGGAATTTTAGACTTTACTAGAATGTTATTCTGGCTGAGCCTCTTCCAAAACGGCTCTATTGGTTCTTTTGGCAGCCCATGGCACTTTCATTATTCTCCTCCAATACCATACCTCAAAAGCATCAATTCTTCTACGGTCTTCCTTATTCACTGTCCAGCTTTCGCATGCATATGAGGTTATTGAAAACACCATGGTTTGGGTCAGGCGCACCTTAGTCCTCAAGCTGACGTCTTTGCTCTTCAACACTTTAAAAGAAGTGCAGCCAGAGTGCTCCTTGGAGACCAAGATGGCCAAACTTCATCTCTCATACTTCAGACATGTTGTCAGGAGGGAACGGTCACTGGAGAAGGATATCATGTTTGGTAAGGTGGAGGGTCAGAGAAGGAGAGGAAGACCCCCAATGAGATGGATTGGCCTAGTGGCAGCATCGATGGACTAAAGCGTGGTAACAGTAGTGAGGTTGGCCCCGGGATCGGGCAGTATTTCGTTCTGCTGTATGTAAGGTCACTATGAGTAGGTACCGACTCGATGGCACCTAACAACAACAACAAAAATGTTATGAGTATGATAAGAACTAAAACCTTAATAGCAAATAGCACTAACATCTCATGTTCCAAACTGTCATTGTGTACTGTTATTGTGAATTGTGTGCTTAATATAACTGAAAACTTAATGTTTTAATTTCAAAGCACCAAATGCACTTGGGTAAGGGGTTGTTTTGTTATTAAGTTCCATTGAGTCACTTCCAATTCATAGTGACCCTGCCCCAGGAATGACTGGTGGGTGTGAACTGTTGACCCTTACAATTCAAACTGACCTTTTGATCCAGTGCATTGTCCTGCAGCACAACTTGTAGCAAATGCAGAGACTATTAGTTTGAAATCATTATAGTTTGGGGTTATTACTCTAAAAATATTTGGGCTAGTGGGGTGCTTTTGATAGTTTCTTAGGCAGCTGTAATGTTGGTGGCACAATAGTTACTGGAAAGTTGACGGCTCAAGGCCACCAGCAGCTCTGCAGGAGGAAAGACCTGATGATGTGATCCAGTCACAATATCCAGACACAATAATTCTATTTTGTACTGTAGGGTCGCTATGAGTTGGAATCTGCTCGACAATGATACTGGCATTGGTATACTTCGGAAGTATTTGTAGAGCAAATGTATGGTGCTGCTTCTGTATCCTCCTTTATCCTCCCTAGCCCGAAGTTCAATATAAATGAGTCCACTGATGCATCAGCACTCCACAAGCTATAAAGGACTATGCAGGTGTGGGATGCTTTATTGTTTAACCTTTGAACACACTAAAACAACTCTTAAAATTCCTATCATCACCTACATATCCATGTGGACTAATGCTTGACTCCCACATTTACAAAAAATCTAGCTATATTTTTTGTGACTTGGTTATTCCATTGTCTCCTACAAAACAGAAGGAAAAATATATCAAATTATCTTTGTTAAATGCTACTGGAATATTCCGATGTGAGCATTTATAGGAACTTTCTATCAACAATTGTAACTGGTAACTTGAAAGGGATGGAACCCACAGAGATAATGAAATGTTAGACATGAAAAACAAATTTATATGTGCTTTGTTACTGCTTTTGTAGATCTGTCACGTGGTTTCACTCATGGCCTGATGGATCTAGAAAGAAGACTGGCTTTAGTTTTGTTGTTATGTTTTGTTTATATGTTTTCATTTTCTGCTGGTAATAGCTGTTTCACAGAAGAAACCAAACCCATTTTTCATGTTTTATAAGCTCATGTAAAGTGCTTCATGTTCTCCTTTGGCTTTGTTGTTTTTTTTAGGATAAGCTTCCCGAGGACCAGTTTCAGGAAAAGACAGCAATGGACTTAGCAGCCGAGCAACTCCGTCTTTGGCCTACTCTGAGCAAATCAACCCAGAAGGAGCTGGTGCAGCGTGAGGAAAGCACTGTCTTCAGTCAAGCCATTCATTTCGCAAACCTCATGGTCAACCTACTAGTTCCACTAGACACAAGTAAAAACAAGCTCCTAAGAACATCGGCCCCAGGCGACTGGGAAAGTGGAAGCAACAGCATTGTTACAAACAGGTAGTGGATAAACACAGACCCACCTACTCTCCTTGGGGCCAGTCTGAGCTTAAGCTAGAATATAAAGTATTTGATGAAATATGGCCCTAAAAAAAACAACAAAAAACTAGCTATTTTCCTCATCTTCAGACTCGCTCAGCTCTTTTCTTTTGAAAGATCTTCTCCTCATCCTCTTATTCTTAATCATCTTTCCCACCTCTTTTCCCTTTCATGGCCTAAGTTTTCAAATGGTTCACCTACCACTGATCCACCCCTTCTGTCACTTTCTGCCATAGCACTGTGCAGAAAGTGCTCTGGAACGTATCTGGTGAGTTCCTTCTTGCAGAATAATTGCTTCTCATGCCTCCTTTCCCTCAGCTGATCTACTGCATTTGTCTGAAATCATGTCCTCAACCATACCTTGCTCTCAACCTTCCAATGACTTCCCTGACCACTAAAAATAAAACCCAAACAGTGTTTTACAGGCCTTCTAGGATATGGTCTCTGGCTACTGCTTTGATCTTAATTCTGGATACTGATACTCTTCTTCCAAACTGGTCTCTCTGCTTGTGCTAATACTTAAGCATTCCACCACCTCAAGGATTTTGTACTTGCTGTTCCTTTCATCTGGAATACTCTCTCCTAAATGGTCAAAAGAATCGATCTCTCTTGTAATCATTACAATGAAAAAATGAGTGTAAAACCGATTTTCTCCCATGTAAGCTATCACTCAATTCACAATAAAACCTTGAGGGGAAAAAAAGGATTTCTCAAGGCTTATGTGCTGATAGCCAGTAGGCAGGCTTGCAGAATGTGCTCTTTCATTGTTTAAATAATTATATATTCTGGAGTGTTATTGTGTACATCCAAAAAAAACCCAAAAAATAGAGGGAATAGATGTAAATACTATTGAATAGTGATGCACGGAGGGGATTGTAATCATTGCATGAAGTGATGAGTGTAAAACCGATGTTCTATGTAAACTGTCACTCAATTCACAATAAAGACTTACACACAAAAAAATTTAGGATAACAGCAACTGCTGCTACCTTTGAAAACATTTTCGTTTTGACAAGACTTCTCTAAACTTATCATCTCTGTAGGAGCTCTGGTAGCTGTAGCTTTCTGTTCCCCTTAAGATTGATAGCCTCAGGAACCCTATACAGGGTCGCTATGAATAGGAAATTGACTCTACAACCACCATCTTTGAAGTTTTAAACCATAGTTCAGAATTTGTCTGATGCATACATTGTTTTTTTTTTTTTGAAGCTTTTTATTGTGAACTGAGTGAATATTTACTGAGCATATCATTAGTTTTACATTCAGATTTAGAGTAGACCATCAGATTTATATTTAACTGTAATTGATTAAAAAAAAAAAAAGAATCAGTCTCTCATTACATTTAGGTCTCTGTTCAAATGTCACCTACTTAGAAAGGCCTTCCTGTCATTCCTAACTTAAATATCATCTACATCCTCTACTTTGGATTATTTTGCTTTTGTTACATTTTCCATTTTAATTTTTTTAAATCTGTTGTCTTATTCTCTGTCTCATTTGTCTATTTTGTTCACTGCTATTTGCCCAGCATGTTTGCACATGATTTATTATGAAGTGGTGTCTAGTCTTCCCCGACTCATAGTGAACTTATGCCCAACAAAACGAACCACTGTCTAGTCCTGCGCTAGCTTCACAATCCTTGTTGTGCTTAAGCCCATGTGCCAATCCATGTGGTAGGGGTCGTCTTCTTTTTATGCTGACCCTTCATGTTAGCAAGCATGATGTCCTTCTCCAGGTGCTGGTCCCTCCTGATAATATGTCCAAAATATAAGAGACAAACTCTCATCATCCTTGCTGTGAAGGAGCATTCTGGCTGTATTTCTTCTAGCACAGATTTTGTGTTCTCCTAGAAGTCCTTTGTAATTTTAATATGCTCCTCCAATACCAAAGTCTTCCTTATTCAGTATCCAACTTGCACATGCATCTGAGGCTATTGAAAATACCATAGCTAGGGTCAGGCATACTTTAGTCCTCAAACTGACATCTTTGCTCTATAACATTTTAAAGAGATCTTGTGCAGCAAGTTTGTCTAATGCAATACACCATCTTATTTCTCTTGATTGCTACTTCCGTGAGTGTTGATAGTGGATCCAAGCAAAATAAAGTCTTTGACTACTTGATTCTTTTCTCCAATTATCATGATGTTATTTATTGGTCTAGTTGTTGTTGTTGTTGTTGTCAGGTGCCATCGAGTCGGAACTGACTCATAGTGACCCCATGCATAGCAGAATGAAACAATGTCCAATCCTGGGCCAACCTCACTACCACTGCCACACTTGACACCATCAATGATGCCACCTGGCTGATCCATCTTGTTGGGGGTCTTCCTCTTTTTCTCTGACCCTCCACCTTACCCAGCATGACATCCTTCTCCAGTGACTGTACTCTCCGGACAACGTGTCCAAAGTAGGAGAGATGAAGCTTAGCCATCTTGGCCTCCATGGAGCACTCTGGTTGTACTTCTTCCAAAACAGATCTATTGGTTCTTTTGGCAGTCCATGGCATTTTCAGTATTCTCCTCCAACACCACAACTCAAAGGCATCAATTCTTCTACAATCTTCCTTATTCACTGTCCAGCTTTCGCATCCATATGAGGTTATTGAAAATACCATGGCTTGGGTCAGGCGTACCTTAGTCTTCAAGCTGACATCTCTGCTCTTCAGTACTTTAAAAAGTTCCTGGGCAGCAGATTTGCCCAGTGCAATACGTTGTCTGATCTCTTGACCGCTGATTCCGCGAGTGTTGACAGTTGACCCAAGAAGAATGAAGTCCTCGACAACTTCAATCTCTTCTCCATTGATAAGAATGCTGTTTATTGGTCCAGTGGTGAGGATTTTTGTTTTCTTAACATTGAGATGTAATCCATAGTATATGTTTCAAGTGTTCTTCACTTTCAGCAAGCAAGGTTGTATCATCTTCATATCGCAGGTTGTTAATGAGTCTTCCACCAATCCTGATGCCACGTTTTTCTTCATAGAACCCAGCTTCTTTTATTTGCTCAGCATACAAATTAAACAAGTATGGTGAAAGAACACAACCCTGTCTCACACCTTTCCCAATTTTAAAACATTCAGTGTTCCCATGCTCTGTTCGAACAACTGCCTCTTGTTCCAAGTACAGATTTCTCAGAAGTACAATTAAGTGTTCTGGAATACTCATACTTCTCAGTTGGTCTAGTGGTGAGGATTTTTGTTTTCTTTAATCGAGGTGCAACCCATACTGAAGCCTGTGATGTTTGATCTTAATCAGTAAGTATTTTAAATATTCTTCACTTTCAGCAATCAAGTTTGTAACATCTGTATATCACAAGCTGTTAATGAGTTGTCCTCCAATCTTAATGCCACATTCTTCTTCATATAATCCAGCTTCTCCGATTATTTGCTCAATATACATATTGATTAAGTATAGTGAAAGAATTCAACATTGGCATACGTTTCCTGTTTTTAAATCATTCAGTGTTCTTTTGTTCTGTTTGAACAACTGCCTCTTATCTATGTATAGGTTCCTCGTGAGCACAATTAAGTGTTCCAGAATACTTATTCTGCATAGTGTTATCCATAGCTTGTCTTGATCTATAGTCGAAAGCCTTTACATAGTCAATAAAGAACAGGTAAACATTTTTCTGGTATTGTCTGCTTTCAGCCAAGATTCATCTTCTATCAACAATTATATCCACCACCACCCCCCTTTCCACGTCCTCACATGAATCCAGCTTGAAACTTTGGCAGTTTCCAATCAATGTCCTGTTGTAGCCGTTTTGGGATTATCTTTAACAAAACTTTACTTGCATGTGTTATCAATTATATTGTTGGATGATTTCCACTGTTGGGTCACCTCTCTTTGGAATGAACACAAATATGTGTTTCTTCTAATCACTCAGTTGGGTAGCTGTCTTCCAGATTTCTTGGCATAGTTGAGTGCTGCATCAGTTTGTTGAAAGATTTCAATTTGTATTTCATCATTTCTCAGAGCCTTGTGTTTGCCAGTGCCTTCAGTGCACCTTGGACTTCTTCCTTAAGTATTCTTGCATCTTGTGATCATATGCTGTCCCTTGAAATGGGTGAACATCAACCATTTCTTTTTGGTATAGTGATACTGTGTGTTTCTTCTGTCTTCGTCTTTGCCCATAGAATCTTTCAATATCACAAGTTGAGGCTTGAAGTTTTTCTTCAGTTCTTTCAGCTTGAAAAATACTGAGCGTGTACCCTTTGGGGAAAGTTTTAGCACATTTCATTATAATACTTTATAATGCTTTGTCTTCTTATGCTTCCCTTTGAAATTTTCTTTTCAGCTCTTTTACTCTTTCATTTCTTCTCTTAAGCATCACTATGCTGAAAAGCACATTTCAGAGTCTCTTCTGACATCCATGTTGGTCTTTTCTTTCTTTCTTGTCTTCTTAATGACCTTTTGCTTTCTTCCTGTGGGAAGTTCTTGATGTCATCCCACAACTCCTGTGATCTTCAGTCATTATTGTCTAATGCATCAAATCTGTTCTGAGATAATTTCTTAATTTAAATTGGATCTGTTCAAAGTAAAATTTGGGTTCTCATGGACTTGTTTTAATTTTCTTCAGCTTCAGCCTGAATCTGCATATGAGTAACTGATGGTCTCTGCATATGAGCAATTGGTGGTCTGTTCCACAGTCTGCCACAGGCCTTGTTTTGAAACTTTTCCACCGTCTCTTTCCACCAATGTAGTCAATTTGATTTTTGTATATTCCATGTGGTCTGTGTTGTTTAACCAAGGTCTTTGCAATGAATAAGTCAGTCATTGGTCTTGCAAAATTCTGTCATGTGATCTCCAGCATCATTTCTGTCACCATGGCCATATTTTCAACTACTGATCCTTCCTCTTTGTTTCCAACCTTTGCATTCCAATCACCAGTTATTATCACTACATCTTTATTGCTTGTTTGATCAATTTCGGATAGAAGAAATGGGTAGAATTCTTCAATTTCATCCTCACTGGCTTTAGTACTTGGTTCATAAATTTGGATAATAGTGGTATTAACTGCTCTTCCTTGTAGGCGTATATTTTATCCTATCACAGGTAGTTTTATTCTTCAAGATAGATCTCAAAATGTTATTTTTGATGATGAATGTGACACCATTCCTCTTCAGTTTGTCATTTCTGCCATAGTAAACCAGGATTGTCAAATTCAAAATGGCCAATACCAGTTCATTTGAGCTCGCTAATGCCTAGGATATCAATCTTTATCCATTCCATTTTATTTTTCACAACTTATTTTCCTAGATTCATACTTTGTATATTCCATGTTCTGATTATTAATATATGTGCACAGCTTTTTCTCCTTATTTTGAGTTTTGCCCCATCAGCAAATGAATGTCCCGAAAGTTTACTCCATTTGCATTATCACACTCAGCTCTACTTTGAGGAGGCAGCTCTAACACAGTCATATTTTGAGTGCCTCTCAGCTTGAGGGACTCATCTTCTGGCACTGTATCTAATAATATTCTGGGGCTATTCATCTTGTTTCAGTATTCAATATTCTAATGCTATCTGACTGTTCCACTACTGTTCATAAGAATTTTAGTGACTATGCATTCAGAATAGTCTGCCCCTTCTCCTTCCTAGTTTGTCTTAGTCTGGAAGCTCAGGTGAAACCTATCCACCACGGGTATAATCTTCTGGTATTTAAAATACTAGTGACGTAACTTCCAGCATGACAGCAACACACAAGCTACCAGAGTGTGACAAACTGACAGACAAGTGGCAGCTGCACATAGTATGCATTCACTAAATACTTGCTTGAACAAATTAAATGAATGAATAAATGAACCGATCACTTAACACAGTCATGAAATTCTATCCTTCCAGTTTGTGTGTGTGTGTTTTGTTTGTTTGTTTGGGGGAGGTGGTCGTTAGCTTTTGATTCTACTTTGGGTGAAAGGTTACAGAGCACATTTGGTTTCCTTTCAATAGTGAGGACACATTTGGTTTTGTGACATTGACTGTAATCCTTTCAGTGTAACAGCACGCTTCTCACTTCCTTTTGGGGTTTCCCTTTTCAATTCATCTTTCTTTCCTTTCCTGCCCCTATCCTTTTAGGTTTTCAGTGACAGTATGACATTCTGGGAGTTCTTCTAGCTCTCATAAATTCTTTTTCCCAGGCTCTTCCTGGAAACTCTTCTTCTCTTCCCATTTTCAGTTGATATGTCATGCTCTTTATGCTTTTGCAGAAATGGAATTTACCTACAGGCTTACAACTCTGACCCCAGCGTCTCAGCACTTCAGTACTGTCAGCAACACGCAGAGTTTCTGGTCTCCCAGCCTAGACAGCTTAGAGTCAGCATTTCACACCATACGGTCAATTACACAGATCTTTTATTTCTTCTTGTTCAGGTTTCTTGTTCCTCCTTGGTTATTTTCTGTGGACAGCGTAGCCCAAGGCCCCCATCACTTCAAACCAAATCATTATAACAGTTTCCCACCTGTTTTTGTTTGTTTTTAATCCCTCCCTCTTCTTTAGTATACTCTGCCCTTGCTGGCACAAGAATCTTCTGAAATGATGTTTCCATCACACTTCTTTATTGCTCACAAAACCCTTTTTCATTTATTACAAACTCATTTGCTTGATCTAAAAAATATTTTATAATCTGTCCCCGCTCTCCCTCCCCAGCCTAACTCCCAGTGCTAGTCAAAGTTGACGTCCAGGATGACCATCAGCAACTATGTTTTCCTTTCCTCTTAACGTTGTCGTTATATTTGATCTTGTTTTCTCAAAATCTACATAGTAAGCAGCTAAAAACTTCAGTTCTTCAAGACTTAAGGATGATTTGATGGCTACATTGTTAGCTTTACTTTAACACTGATTCAGGCGTGTTCTTAAACATGGAGTAAAGAAAACTGAGAAGGTTAGAACAGGCAAAGGAGTTTTGTTTGTTTGTTTCTCTTTCCCCCATGATTGGCATTCTAGCAGAAGGTGTGGGGAGCCAGGAGTGTTTGTTGGACAGTGGGAGCTGGGTAATAAGAGCAATCAATGTATTTACCTATCCTGTGTGACTGTACAGTCTGCAGAATAATGACGGCTTCATAGTGGCCAAAAGCATTGTTATTCACTCAGAGAGAGAAACAAATTTTGGCAAAAGATGGTTCATATGATAGTTCGGTCCCTTCGTTTGAGAGACTATGTCATTTGCAGTAAAAATTATTTTACTTTGCCTACTTGAGGTTAGCACAGGATTGGGCAGTGTTTCGTTCTGTTGTGCATAAGGTCGCTGTGGGTCGGTACTAACTCGACAGCACCTAACAACAACAACCAGGGAGCCTGGTGTCGCACTGTAGGATAAGGAGCTCTGGTAGTGTAGTGGGCTGCTAACTCAAGGTCATCAGTTCGAAACTACCAGTGGTTCTGCAGGGAAAATACGAGGCTTTCTGCCCCGGTAAAGATTTACAACCTCAGAAACACTATACAGGGTTGCTAGGGGTCAGAACCAACTCCACAGAATATAACCACCACCTGGGAGTCATGGCGTAGCACTGTAGGATAAGCACAGACTGCTAACTACAAGGTTGGCAGTTCCATTCCTCAGAAACTCTGCATATGGTCTCTATGATTCGTTACTGACTCAATGGCATTTAACAACGACAACCAGGGAATTGTTCCCAGCTGCCAGAGGCAATCATATTACTTTCTCTGGCTCTGTGTGGCAAGTCCTGGTGTGGTGCTTTAGGATAAATGCTGACCTGTTAACTACAAGGTTGATGTTTCTGACTCATAGCACAAGCTGTATAGGGTTTCCAAAGAGCAGCTGGTGAGTTTAAACAGTTGACCTTGCAGTTCAAACCAACCTTGTGATCGAGTGCTTATCCAACAGTGCCACACAAGGACTCCAATTTGGGATTACTAGGGCTTTTTTAGTTTTCTTTTAAGGCTTGGATATAAGATAAATTAAAGAGTCCCCTTTAACTTTTTTTCTATGATTCCTGAGTGCCTTTTGGAAAAGCAATTTGTTTTCCTTGCAAAAACAAATCTGAATCCAAAGGATAATGGCTGACAGTAGCTTCCAAATACAGGCAAATTTAGCATCATATATCACCACTTAACATGGAATTACGTGTACTTGAGTGTACAACTCTTTGAGCAAGTTTAAATTGCTATGTAAATGAACTGTAATATCATTTGTTACATTTGCATACTGACTGATTTATTTTCCTTTACTTAGTATTGCAGGAAGTGTAGCTGAGAGCTATGATACAGAGAGTGGGTTTGAAGATTCAGAGAATAATGACATTGCCAATTCTGTTGTGCGTTTTATTACCCGATTTATTGACAAGATTTGTACAGAGAGTGGAGTTACTCAGGATCACATCAAGAGCCTTCATTGCATGATACCAGGTAATCACTGTGCAGATACTAGAGACTCCAAATATCAGAGATAACTAAGTAAGAACTTCACTTTTGGGTCAATTTTTTCCAGCATAAGACCTGTAATACTTGTCTTCCATGTAGCTTAGCCATGCTGTTGATTTATGTTTTGATTAATTTTTAATCATAAATTATTTGCAATTTGTTGTGTTGTGCTCTTTCATTTTGAATGCTCTGACTCATCTTAGGAATTGTTGCTATGCATATCGAGACCCTAGAAGCGGTGCATCGAGAGAGTAGAAGGCTTCCACCAATACAGAAGGTAAATATTCCAGACTGCATGCTTTCAGGCTATAGTATCTCTTCTTAAAAGTGGCAACTGTTGTGCCCCCCAAAAATACCTTCTCTTAACTTTTTCCAAATCCAGTGCTGGTTTTAATGATACATTAAACTTTTAGAAGAGTTTTGTCTTGTCGTCCTTAGGAAAGGGATACTGAAATAGGAACAGTGGCTTCAACAAAGGAGCAATAATAACCTCTTGTTGAGTCTACTTTTATAGGCAGGGTATAAATTATGAGCAGTTCTAACTTACAAACTCAACCCAAGATTTTATGCCCTGCCTACTTCCAAAAAAGAATTTAAGGCACTCACCATGAAAATAGAAGTTTCCTAAATCTGGCTATATATCACAGGTGTATTAAAATTTCAGATCCTAAATCCTACCCAGCCTCCTGAATTAGAGTCTCCTGGGACACGGCCTGGAAATCTGTATTTTAACAAGTCTTCAAGATGAATATTTTATAGCTAGTCTGCCACCAGTCTGTGGAATAGGGTTCAAGCCCTCTCACCTCTGTAACAGAAGTAGGAAGAACAAAATCAAAGGAGAGCGCTGAAGTTTGATAGGACAGAAAATTCTGTGAGGATACTGAGCTACAATAATCATTATATACTTTGCCCTTACATTTAGCTCTGACTGCTTATTCCTTAGTAAAAAAAAAAGAAAAAGAAGCATATTAGATCTTCAGGAGAGAATTTTTTCCTAGCACTAAACTCTGCAGAAGAATGTACCATCTAGTTCCTCATATTAAGGATACTATGGCAGGATTGCCCAAAATGCTTGATACTCATTACTTACCTTCTCCTGCAAGTCTGGGAAACACTATATAGGATTGCTATGCGTGAGAACCAACTCTATGGCACTTAATAGCAACAACAACTTATCAATGACTGGGAACAAAATGTGTATAAATTAGTGAATGGAAAACTGATTTGTTCTCTAAATCTTTACTTAATTCACAATAAAAAGTTTTTAAAAGCTAAATAAATAAATTACAAGACCAGGTTTTTTAAATGACTCATCCTTTTTTTTTTATGATTTATTGTGAATTATGTGATTGTATACATGGGAGAACATTAGTTTTACATTCATTCTATCATATATCCTCTCATTGCCATGGTTACAATCCCCTCCATGCAATCCTTCCCCCATGCCCTCCAGGTCTTCAGCACACAGTCGCTCTCCCTCTCTGGATCTAAAGTCTCCAGCTGCTCCATCGCTCCACGTCATCATCTCTGGCTCCATTTCAGACATCACTACTTCTCTGGGTAGGGTTCCGCTCCTAGACTGAAAAGTTAATCACTCCCCTCCTTGCTATAAAGCGTCCACCTTTACATTTCCAACCCTCACAGTCAGTCCTGATAACAATTATTCACTATTGTATCACAAGAGACCCGTCTGCATTTCATTGCATCAGATTGAATACTACTCACTGGAGATTCTACCTTCCTCCAGGCCCTCTGGATCTAGGTTCCCTCTTGAAAGCTTGTAAGCCAGTCACTTCTTGCCTTTGTAGCCCCCAACCCAAGACTCATCCATTTTTAAAGTTTTGTTTTTTCACTTTATAAAAGCATCAATGCACTTTGTATAAAAGGCATGAATGAAAGAAACTGTAAAAAGGAAAAGCCCTTCACAGTCCTCCCTACCCCTCACCCTCATATTCACCTAACCTAAGATGTTGTTGTTATTAAGTGCTATCAAGTCATTTCCAACCCATAGTGACACTGTATAGGGTTTCTGAGGAGCGGCTGATAAGTTTAAAGAGTTGACTGTGGTTCAAACAACATTTCAGTCCAGCACATTAACCCACAGCACCACAACAGGACTCCTTACCTTTAACAGTTTGGTTCAGATTCTCACAGTCTTTTCCCTTCTTTTTCTAAAAATGGGATTACATTATACATTATTTGCTGCTGCTTTTATTTAGCAATGTATTCTGGCTATCTTTCTATATTAACACATGTCTCTCTGCTTGGTGCTTTTAATGTTAAAACGAACTCTTTTGAATTGATGCTTCAAAGATCTGAGTTATTTCCAATCATTTTATTGTTAACAAAGCAATGCTACAAAAAAATTTTCATGCTTGGATGAGGAAACCTTCATTTCTTTCTCTTTCCAAATCTGTTTTTGTCAATTTGGCAATCTGGAAATTTTGACTAAGGATTTTTAGATCTAGAACTGAAAAGGCAACCTTTATTTAAGTATTAAAAGCCATATAAGAATTGCATTTAAAATGTTTTCTCTTTTGTTAGCCCAAGATTCTTAGACCTACTCTACTGCCAGGAGAAGAAATTGTTTGTGAAGGTCTTCGCGTCCTGCTGGATCCTGATGGAAGAGAGGAGGCCACTGGAGGCCTTCTTGGAGGCCCTCAGCTCCTGCCAGCAGAAGGAGCCTTGTTCCTCACCACATACAGAATTCTCTTCAGAGGAACTCCCCATGATCAACTAGGTATGCTCATAATATGTCATCAGTACATAAATATATATTATGGTATATGAGGTTTTGATTCTGTCTGTGGGCAGTAATTTATAGATATTTCAGATTCAAAATAAACTTTTTGCCAAGTGGTACTTTTGGGATATTTTTATCTGTCAACAGCTAATGATAATTTGAGCACATATTTTAAAACCTTTCTTTTTTGCTTTATTCTTAATCTTTGATGTCTTCAATATTTGAGGATATTTCTTTTTCTATATAATATGTCTCTTCCTATAAGATTGCATTGAGTCAGATGATCTTTTGTGGAGCATAGTAGGTTGGGAGATAGAAAGAAGCAAGATAGCAGGTAGGCTGTAACAGTTGTTTATCTCTAGGAAAGGATGTGTCTCCGGAGGGAATTGTCATGTAATAAAATTAATAATATTTTAGAATAATGCCATTTTCTCTCACTGCATCCCTAGGCACTGCCTTCTCCAGATACCTTTCTCCATCAAAGACTAGCAAAGTGAGCAGTAGAGTAACCTATACAATGCTGTTTAGTAAATCTTGTCTTTCTGCAGTTGGTGAGCAGACAGTTGTGCGGAGCTTTCCCATTGCCTCCATCACCAAGGAGAAGAAGATCACAATGCAGAACCAGCTACAGCAGAATATGCAAGAAGGACTGCAGATCACATCAGCATCTTTTCAGGTACTTGGAGAAGGGAACTATTCTTGTATTGTTTAAAACTTTTCAAAGATTTACTGTTGTGACAATTTTCTGTGGTTAGAAGCTACAGGATGAGGAAGACCAAAGGATCTGGAAGGGTAGTCTTCAGCTGAGTAAACTCATGAATAGTCCTGAGTTTAACCCCTCATTTCCTGTGCAGTTAGCCAACTTAGTACCAACAAATTATCAATGTTTAGTAATCTTAGAAACTTAAACACATACAATTGGCTTTTGTCAAGTTATACCTCAACTTGTATTTGATTAAGACCTTAGATAAAAAGCAATTCTTCTGGCATCTATTTCAGAAGGAACTGCCTTTTGGCTTTCCTGTGAAAGAGATAAAACTCTGAGAAGTGTGTGGAGGACTAAAGTACTGTTGGTACTAACTTAATCCAAACCAACCAGTTGCCATCTGCTTTATTTTGTGTCATAGTAGAACTGTGCTCCGTGAGGTTTTCAGTGGCTCGTTTATCAGACGTGGATCCTCAGGCCATTCTTCCAGAGGTTGTCTGACTAGCCTTGGTCTGCCAGTCTTTCAGTTAGCAGAACTCATTAACTATTTACATTACTTAGGGACTCGCTAACTGAATAACCACTGATAAAACAAGGATTTTTCTAGGGACTTCAGAACTTGTCGAATTACTTATTTAAACCAGTGACCTTAATTAGTTTTTCCTTTTTAAAAAAAAAAAAAAAAGTTCATTTTATGGTATTTTGCTTTTCCTATTCTTCATGCTTTGTCTCTATCTTCTCAAATTTACAAGGACTCTAACTCTTGCCTCATTTATCCCTAGTAACTCCCTATGCTAATTTTGTGAAACTGAGGTGCTGACCTTTAGTCTCTAGGCCTTCTCCCATCAGACCATTGACTCCCTAGGGATTTCCTCACTCTCCTAACTGCCAAAGACCTCTAAACTAAAACACTGCATAACTGTACTGGTTAGGATTCTAGTCAAATTGAATTAATTTCTCCTTAGATTTATAGTATCTCTAGGTGGAAAAAGACCTTATAGGCCAAGTTTCCCATCTAAAACCAACAGCTCAGATATGCGATGGGCTTGTCTGTTTCTTCAGCCTTTCATAGGAGAGAGTTTTTAGAGAAACCCACCTTCAAGATACATGAAATTTAAAATTTTTTAAATCAAAAGATTGTATTTAATAATATCCAAGGTCCCTCAACTTCTAAAGTCTTCCACTTAGTATTGTTACTTTCTGTTATTTCTGTGGTATTGGTAAAAACTGTCTGGAAATCTTTGATGCTCTTGATGTTTTTAATCTCTTTTTCTCTAGTTGATTAAAGTAGCATTTGATGAAGAAGTGAGTCCAGAAGTAGTAGAGATCTTTAAGAAACAGCTGATGAAATTCCGCTATCCTCAGTCTATTTTTAGCACCTTTGCTTTTGCTGCTGGACAAACTACCCCGCAAATAATTTTACCCAAACAGAAAGAAAAAAACACCTCCTTTCGGTAAGAAGAAAAACAGTCTTTTAATTTCAGCCTCCCATGTCCTTTGGGGATATGACCCATCCTTTGCATGATTGCTCATTTCTTTGCTATTTTGTCAAACCCATTGAGCCAACCAAGCTCATTGATAGCCTCGTATATAACAAGTTTCTAAGACTAAGCATTACAGATGTTTTGACTGTCATGTCCAGTGCTCATGCTGTATATTCAGAATGTGAGTTCTGTTTTCCTGTTTTTTAACTGTTAAGCAATCCCTCCAGCTTTCATAATATCCAGGCTCATGGATAGTTAAGTTTTGATCTAGAGATGGGAGTCCTTATTTTCTAATTCTATTTTGTAACTTTTTACTTTGATATAATTTCAAGCTTTTAGATAAGTTACAATAGTACAGAGAATTCCTTTACTCAAATTAACTAGTTATTTATATTTTGCTCAGTTTGTTTGGTCAGTCTTTCATATTTTTTTCTAAAACATAAAACATGTGAGTTACATTCATAAAACCTCATTGTCCTTAAATATGTCAATGAACATTAAAGGTATTATTTTATATAACCACAATATAATCAAAACCAGGAAATTTAATTGACATATTACTTTTATCTAACACAGATTCATATTCCATTTTTTTTTAATGATCTCAGTAATACCCTTTTATAGCTACTTTTCCTCCACTGGTTCAGGATCTAATCTAGGATTAGGCATTGCATTTACATGTCATGTTTCTTTATTAGAAGTTCATATTTTCTAATGAAGGCTTTCAGAAATTTATGTTGACATTTTAAAGTTCCATTTATAAAATAGCAGTTGTAAGATTCTCTTTAATCAATGATAAAATATAAGTGCTAAAATGTCTTCATTTTCATCATTAATTAATCACCTAGAATGTGGGCCTCTTCCAGTACAAATTACATATTAGGGAGAACTTTGCAGATTCTGGCGGCCTTTCCTCTATAATCCTAAGGATTATAGAGGATTTCAGGCTCCAGACAGTGTGTCATAGCTGGCCACCAGTACCACTGTTACCTGGGAAGTAAAGGAGAATAACCAGGTATAGACACAAACAGCCTTTTAGATATTTACAACAGTGAACTAAGCATCTTAGTACTGTGGGGTCACAGAGAAGCTAAAGATATTTATTTCTTCTACAGACAACAGAAATAAAACTTTGTATGGTGTTTTAGGTTAGGTTAGGTTTAGAAACTGTCAGGAATACATATATACATACATACATCTATATTGTTGTTGCTAAGTGCCAGCGAATCACTTCCGACCCATAGCAACCCTATATAGGGTTTCTGAGAAGTGACTGATGAATTTGAACTGCCGCCCTTGCAGTTCAAACTGACCTTGTGGTCAAATGTTTATCCTATAGCGCCACACCAGGACTCCATATGTATGTGTGTGTGTGTGTTTGTATTTGTGGTTGTTAAGTGCTATCAAGTCAGTTCCAATTCAAGTGACCCTGTATAGGGTTTCCCAGAGCCTCTGGTGGTGGTTTTGAACTGCCAACCTTGTGGTTAGCAGTCCAATGTTTATCTATAATGCCACACCAGGATCCCATATACATATACACGCACATTCAGTCAGGCCTATTTTATCCAGCTATGATAATGGATACAGCAATTGTAAAATTTAAAACATTCTAGAATTGCCTTGAATGAGTGCTGATGACATAGTGGGTTATGCATTGGGTTGCTAACCATGAGGTCAGCAGTTCGAATCCACCGACTGCTCTGCAGGAGAAAGATGATATTTTTTGCTTCTGTAAAAATACACAGCCTCAGAAACTGTATACACTTTGAGTTACAATCAACAAGACAACACATAATAACAACAGAATTGCCTCGAGTACATGAATCAGTGGTCTTAGCCCTGTTGTTGTTGTTGTTGTGATGTGCCGTGGAGTTGGTTCCGACTCATAGCGACCCTACACAGGGTTTCCGAGGCTGTAAATCTTTACGGGAGCAGAACGCCTTATCTTTCTCCCGCGGAACCGCTGGTAGTTTCGGACTGCTGACCTTGTGGCTCATAGCCCCATTCGTAACCACAACGCTACCAGAGCTCCTTGGTCTTAGCCCTAGATGGAAATTTTTTATGTAAATCCCACTGAGTTTAAGTTATACCTCAAATGATTTTCAGTAGGTTTAACTTTGGAAATACCAGTGTTTTATGATTTTCTTTTTGTGTTTTGTTTTTTTTACTTTTTATTGTGAACTGAGTGAAGGTTTACAGATAAAATCATCAGCTTTATGTAAAATTCAACAAATCCTACACTTTGTTTCAAGGAGCTCTGGTAGCGTAGTGGTTACGAATTAGGCTACAAGCCACAAAGTCAGCAGTTCGAAACTACTGGCTGTTCCGCGGGAGAAAGATGAGGCTTTCTGCTCCTGTAAAGATTTACAGCCTCAGAAACCCTATGCAGGGTAGCTATGAGTTGGAACCGACTCCACGGCACATAACAACACTTTGTTTCATCCCAGTGATTACAATCCTCTCCCTACAACAAAAGTTATCCTACTTCCCCGCTGTGGTTCCCATTTTACATCTTAGATTTCCAAATGAACAAAACAAAACAAAATATATATATATATAATCATTTAAATATCCATCCACAAGACTCATTCTGCAAGCCAGTCTCCTAGGCACACAGTGTTTTATGATTTTAAACTATTACTTAAAACATCATTCCTAATCCTCAGGTTTGCATTTTAGATTATGAAACACAGGGTCTGATAAAACTATTTGACAATAAAAGAATAATCAGAATAATCATCCTCAAAACTTTCATCTCAATATCATTAACTAGGAAATAGCTTCTTTGTTTAGTTCTCTGAGCTCTAAATACTCTGTACCTAGATTTTCTATCAGCAAGAAAATGTAAACTATTTGAATATATAAAGCACTTTTATGCTAAGTGATTTGCATCCTGTTGTTGTTGTTGTTGTTAGGTGCCATCAAGTACTGACTCATAGTGACCCTATGCACCACAGAACAAAAAACACTGGACTAACCTCACCATTGTTGCCACACTTGAGCCCATTGATGCTGCCACTTGACCAATCCATCTCTCTGGGGGTCTTCCTCTTTTTCTCTGACCTTACCAAACATGATATCCGTATGCAGTGACTGGCCCCTCCTGACAATATGTCTGAAGTCTGAGAGACGAAGTTTGGCCATCCTGGCCTCCAAGGACACTCTGATTGTACATTTTCCAATACAGATCTGTTTGTTCTTTTGGCAGCCCATGGTACTTTCAGTATTCTCCTCCAACACCATAGCTCAAATGCATCAGTTTTTCTACGATCTTCCTTATTCACTGTCCAACTTTCACACACATATGAGGTTACTGAAAATACCATGGCTTGTGGCTGGCGTACCTTAGTCTTCAAGCTGACATCTTTGTATCCTAGTTTCCCATTTATGAAAGTTGGTTCTCAAAAGTATGCTAAATTTCCATTTGCTTAGTTTTCTCCTCTCCAAAAGTTAAATAATATTATGTAATATTATTATTTTCCATAACTTAGAAGGTTTGCATCTAATTAGAGGCAAGATACCACATATACATGCTTGAAACACTTAAGGAGGAAAAAAAAGGTGTTACTAGCTATAATTGTACTTTCTCACAGAAAGACCTGTATGCTAGTGGAAGTGTTTGAATCAGTAGAAAAGGACGGGAGTGGGGTGGGGTGAGGGGAGGAAGGGGAAGGTGGAGCACAGGGCAGAGAATAGACACAGGATAGTTTGGGTGCTGGGGAGGGGGGCAGTATACAAAGAAGAGGGAGAGGAATGGAAGAACAAAGTAGATAGGAGAACAATTAGGCAGGCTTGCATGGACTAAGTGGGACAGAGGTAAATAACAATGTATGCATAACCTTGGAACAACAAGGCTCTAGGATACAGGGATTGAGACATGGTTGGAATGGGGAAAAGGGGGGTGGAATAATGTTAAGATGCTTAGCTGTCTTTTGAATCTTGGTTTCCCTTGCATACCATTATAAAATAGAAACTGGAGGGGGAGAGAAAGAAATAGCCAGAAATATCATCATAGAAAGCTTGTAAGTCTGTCTTCTGCCTATAACTGATTGGAATATCTCAAATGGGGCTACAACATGCCCAGTGAAGGAGGCTTCCTGCAGAGTGCTCTGCATTACATAAGACTATAGGTGGAATCCTGACCAGCATCCAGAATCTTAAGAGGTGGGAAATTTCCTCTTGAAAGGACAGGCATACCAGCCTGGAGTGACTAGAAGAACAGAAGATACTTCTTGAAAGAAAGACTGACAGGAAAAACACAAAACAATATAGGCAGACCAACTGATTGCTACAAGAACAAGCAAGTTGCTCCCCCAGGAGACATCAAGGCAAGTGGTCGAATCCCCTCAGAGCAAACCCCCTTCCAAGACTAAGACTCAGTGGAAATACACACTCTGATTGGTGACCACATTCTTCACCAATAAGGGAAAGGGAGTGAAAAACAGCAATGAAGCTGCGAGCTAAGCCCTACAACGTTCAATAGACTCCTGTGAACCCAGGTGGAGACCTAGTTGGCCAGCAGTGCAGCAAGACCTGGGGACCCTTGAGCCCAGAGTCAGTGACATAGCCACAGAGGACTAGAGTGGAGAGTGAAGCATCCAGCTGATAAGAAGAGATGGCATATGCACAAGAACATCCACACTTGCAGATAATACCCACTTGACCTGGCTTCAGTGACTGGATGATCAGAGCTCAACTAGAAGAAGAAAGAAGAGGAAAAAAAGAATAATCTGATACAATTTGATGAACTTGACCTACACTTATGGATGCAGTAGCTCAAAAGAGGGAACAAATATTTACAGCAAGGATCATTCCCATCCCCTCCATGTACAGAGTAGACAGGGATGGGCAACTTGTGGGGAGGGGGCACAAAGGCAAGAAGTGACTGGCTTACAAGTTTTCAAGATCCTAGATCCAGAGGGCGTGGGAGAAGGTAGAATCTCCACTGAGTAGTATCCAATCTGTCTAGGCAGGGCTGTTGTAAGGAAATGTGAATAGGTCTCTTGTGATACAATAGTGAATAATTGTTATCAGGTCTGATTGTGAGGGTTGGAAATGTAAAGGTAGATGTTTTATAGCAAGGAGGGCAGTGATTAACTTTACAGTCTAGTTGTGGAGGTCCCTGGGACCATCAAGGGAGAAGAGTGGAGAGCAAGACGCTACCCAGAGAACAGTGATGGCAGAGATGATGACGTGGAAAGATGGAGCTGCTGGAGACTTTAGACCCAGAGAGGGAGAGGGGCTGTATGCTGACGACAGGGGGGCAGGCTTGCAGGGTATATATACCCTTTGGTTGGTTGATGATGCATGGAGGGGATTGTAACCATGGCAATGAAACGATATATGATAGGATGAATATAAAACTAATGTTCTCCCATGTAAACTATCACATAATTCACAATAAAACTTAAAAAAAAAAAAAGGCAGACTAGCTTTCCATGCAGAACGTATGTGGCATGGATAACCATGGTAGGACTGGGCATGCTTGACCAAAAAGACAAATTGAGGTGTTGAGATTGGGATGATGTTTTCATGAGGTGATGAGATTTTCATGAGAAAATGTGAAGTACTTACCAGCCTCTCAGAACTGGAAAAAAATTATTATATTTCTTGTACTTTTTGCCCAAAGCATTGTCTTGCCTTCAGTAGTGTTTTATAAGAAATTAATTTGATAGTCATGTAAAATTTGATCTAATTGTCTGGTCAACACTATTGACTGTGGAAAGAAACAGCTTGAGCTATGCAGGTTCAAAAAATTAGATATGGTACATACCTTCATATTAAATTGGCATCCTCTTTTTTTTTGTTGTTTTTTACTTATAGCACCTTCTCAAAAACAATTGTAAAAGGTGCCAAACGGGCAGGGAAAATGACAATTGGGCGGCAGTATTTATTGAAGAAGAGGACAGGGACAATTGTAGAAGAGAGAGTGAATCGTCCTGGATGGAATGAGGAAGATGACATATCAGGTATGTAAGAACATTTTCCCCTCATTTTTCAGCTTCATCCTTTCCTTTTATGAAAGAGGAATCTAAAATGTATAAAGCTGCACTGAACTTTAACAGAAAAACATCAATTTCATGAGACAATTTGAAGTACTTACCAGCCTCTCAGAACTGGAAAAAATTATTTTTCCAATACTCCATTTTCACATGAGATTTTGCTAAATGTTACTTCTCCTTTAATACATTCAATAGCTTGTTGACCATTTTTATGTGGGTCTCATAAAAGGGATAAAGGAGAAAATCCACTGCATAAGAAATGTTGTTTATAGATTAATCCACTTCTAAAAATAAAGAAACCTTATTTCAGTACTACCACTGGCATAAAGGTTCTATTTCCATTAATGGAATAAGAAAGAACTTAATGTCATTTTATGTGTATGCACATAAGCCTGTATGACTGTAGACTTACAAGTTTGCCTCTGGGCACAATGAAGAGATCTTCCATTGTGTTACTGAAAGGACAACTTGTTGGGCCTTGATGTTTACCATAAAAACTTAGAAAGTAAGGATTTCCGGAAAGATGGAGGACTAGGCAGATGGACTACATAGACCCTCTATAACAAAGATAGGAGAGACAAAATTAGACACAGATGGAAATTCTGGCACCCTGAATGTCAAAAGAAAGATTAGAGAGGTGAATGGAGTCTTGCTGGGAAGAGTTGCCAAGCAGAGATGGTGAGAGAGCGAGACTGATGAAGAGCTGGCCAGACGAAGCTCTACCCTCTAGTGAGCAGCTTTGGCAGCAGAGGGAGGCCTAACAGCAAATTTGAGTGGGTGACCAAAAAGTGTTATCTTTTCCTTTTCCCCACGCTCCCCTGATGACCAGAGGTGTGGCCAGCTCCCACCTCATCCACGCCCTTCTTTCCAGAAGCTCAGAACCCTGTGGTTGGGAGCCACACCAGCATGAGGTAGAAGCAGCTGCATCACTTTGGTGCCTGGAATCAGGTGGGCTCGACTCCAGGCCTACAAAACCCTCAGAGCCACCAAACCAGCATTCAACCAGGCACCCTGCCCCTAGCTTCCCTGTGATCCTAACAGACATTGAAACCAGGCTCAACAAGGGTCCCCACAAACTACTTTTGTTTGAGTGCCCTGGACATAGATACACCAAGGCCGCCAGGAATTCTGCTGGCAAACTGGCACATCCTTTCCACAGCCATCTTGTGAACTCCTTAAATTTCAGTCGCCCTCCCCCCATCCCACCCCAGAGATTTCTCCTCTCCGTGTCCAACAACTGCACTGTTTTTACAAATACGACAATCCCACAATGCTCTGGAGGCAGCAAACAATTTTAATTCACATGAAGAAATGAGAGAATGGCTCAAACAAATGACCAAGATGCAGAGACAGAAAACGATTCTGAGGTAGAAAAGATAATGGAACTAACTGAAAATGAATTCTAAAGAATGATAATTAGGTACCTTCTAAGGATTGAAAGAAAGATCAAAGAAAAGAAAGAAAAAACTATAAAAACGTTAGGGGAACTCAGGAAAACACACAAGAACAAACAGACAAAATAAATGCAAATTTTATAACAATTCAAAACCTGCTATTAGAAATCCAGAAGATTACCACTAAGATCTCAAAAATGGACAACGCATTGAAAGAATGAAGGAATAGATGTGAAGAAAATGAATGAAGAAATCTGAAGCCTAAGAATTAAGTGGGACACTGTGAAGAATAGCTTATGAATGATCAGAATTTGAAACAGAAAGAGACAAGCACAGAGAAAATTGTCAAAGAGTTGTTGGGAAAAAACTTCCCTATTGCCATGAAAAATGAGAAGATTAGCATACAAGAAGCTGAATGAACCCCAAACAGGAAAATCACCAAGACATATCATCATTAAACTTTCAAAATCAAAGACAAGGAAAGACTCCTGAGAGCAGCTCAGGAAAAAATTTAAAGTTAGCCACAAAGGAGAGCCAATGAGACTAACTTCTGATTTCTCAGCAGAAACCATGCAAGCAAGAAGACAATGGAATAATATATACAAAACCCTCAACGAAAAAGATTGCCAAACAAGGATCATATATCCAGCAAAGTTGTCAAATACAACTGCAAAGTTAGAATAACTTTGATAAGCTGAGATTTGAGGAATTTGTAATAACCAGACCAACTTTACAAAAAATGCTAATGAGTGTTCTTTGGATTGAGAACCAACAACTGCAGACAACAACCTGAGATTACCATACATGACAACACCACTCAGAACTCAATCCAGATACAGAAAGATTTCAAATAAAACAAACATAGGAGACTGAAAGTAGTGAACTAGAGATATTAATGTATAATAAAGCTAACTGCAAAGCAAAAAGAGGGAATAGTGTAGATACCAAACTTCCAAATGGTAAAGAAGTCAAGTAGATTTTAAGATAAAACAGATTGCTTTAAGCAGGGAAAACATTAATAAATTACAGGGTAATCTCAAAGAAAAACAGTACACCTGCACATCAAAATTTTTTAAAAAGAAAAATCAGAAAGATTTAGTAAACATTAACACAACAAAAATGAAAAGAAAATCCACGAACAAAATTAACTCAGCATAAAAAATTATGTGGAACAAAGAATCCAGCAGCAACATAGAAAAACAACATCAATTGATACCTATTGATAATGAAACTGAATGCAAATGGATTAAATGTACCAGTCAAGAGACATAAACAGCAAAATGGATAAAAAAAAAAACAGGATATGCTGTCTACAAAAAATGTATCAGAAAGATGGAGACAGCCTAAATGTCTATCAACAGAAGAATAGCTAAAGAACTTTTGCTAAATACACAAAATGGAATGCTACAAAATGTTGAAGAATAATGAATCTGTGAAACACTTAACAACATGGTTGAACCTGGAGGAAGGACATGCTGAGTGAAATTAGACAAATGGTTATCTTGTTAAAAGAAACAATCTTTGATAGGTGGGGGGAGGCAAAATTTTTCATGTTGACATAGATGGCTGGGTAGGCAATATACAAGAGGGAAGTTAGCAGAGGAAAGATGAACGTAGTGGGAAGGCACAGGGAGGAATGCAATAGTTAAAGTGAGTAGAGGTGAGTGGTCTTAACTATTTGTACATGGAGGGGATTGCAACCATGTAATGAAGCAAAGTATATGATTTGTTGAATGTAAAATGATGATCTGCTCTGTAAACCTTCACTCAATTCACAATAAAAAGTTTGAAAACAAGAAACAAAGTCACAAAAGAATCACTGTTTCCCAACATTATTATTAGCTCTTCTAATTTGAAGTTTTTGTCATTTCATGGAACAAAAACTATCATTATATGATATTATTCCACAAAAAGACCAAACTATACACTTCTCTTAGTTCTTCTGAAAATAATAAAAAATTTATACCTGATTGAATTGCATTGTAAAGTTTACAAATACGAAGTTTTATTCTTATAGTGATAACCTCATAATCTTTTACTTTTTAATAGAAAATAGCTGTATCTTTCCCTTGACCATTATTAGTACTTTGGAAATGTGCTCAAAGACTTTGAAAACTTGATTTGACGTCTCTCACTTCAAAAATAAATGTAAAAGTAAATTAGGGCAGTTTGTAACATGGAATTTTTTTAGTTAGAACATGCAGTACCAATTAGGAATGTTTTTTTAATCCTCCCTAAAATACTTGATTATTGGCTAAATTTTTCCCACATCTAAAATCTTAAAGGATTCTGTAACCTGTGGTTGCAAAACTGTGAGGGAGTTTTCCATGAATACCACATCCTCTAACAGAAAAATTCCTAGAAGAAAGTATAGCTTCTTTATATTTCTATTTTTAAAAAGCCAGTTTTTTCTCATTAGTGAACTTCTGGTTAATCTACAACTTTATGTGTAAACTTTTTTTTTTTTTTAAGTTTTTATTGTGCATTGAGTGATAGTTTACATGGGAGAACATCAGCTTTACATTTATCCTATTGTATTTCATTTCATTGCAATGATTACAATATGTGTAAACTTTTATTATCAAGTTTATGTTCTAAAAAGTTAACTGAAACCTGTTTTAATCTGTTTAAGTAAATTATTTCACGTAGAAATTATACAATTTGTGATATGCACAGTGTCATTAGTCCTAAAATGAAAGTCTCTGGTTTAAGAATCATCTTCACATGTATTTCTTAGTCCTTTACCTTGAGTTATATCATTTCTTCACTTGGCTTCTCTATTCACAGTTTCAGATGACAGTGAACTCCCCACAAGTACCACTCTGAAGGCCTCTGAGAAGTCTACAATGGAACAGTTAGTGGAAAAAGCTTGTTTCAGAGACTATCAACGTTTAGGTTTGGGAACCATAAGTGGCAGCTCTTCCCGTTCAAAACCAGAGTATTTTCGAATCACTGCCTCCAACAGGATGTATTCACTTTGCCGGAGGTAAGTCTTTTAGTGGGATCTAAAAAGAACCCTTATTTTCTTTCTTACATTCACATCTTGATTGGACTGTTTGTGTACACAGTCCAAAGAGAGAGAAAAAATGCCAGAAAATAGGAACGACACTTTATATGCAGTACAAGCAAACATCGCATGGGATTCTGAGAAATACATTACTTAAATTAAAATGCCTGTTAGAGCAGAAAGTAGAAGGTAAAGTTCTTTTCCACTGTATAAAGTTCCTGTTGGCTAGCAAGCCTGAAGATAGCTTGAAGAATAGGATTTGGAGAGCCTAAAGAGCTCTAGTAGAGTCCTGGTGTGGCGCTGTGGGTTAACGTGCTGGACTGCAAAATTGGTATGAACCACAAGGTCGGCAGTTCAAGCTCACCAGCTGCTCTTTGGAAACCCTATACAGGGTAACTATGGGTGGGAACCAAATCGATGACACTTAACAACAACAAGGAGCTCTGGTAGCGTAGTGGTTACAGGTCAGGCTGCTAACCTCAAGGTCAGCAGTTTGAAACTACCAGCTGTTCCATGGGAAAAGATGAGGCTTTCTCCTGTAAGGATTCACAGCCTCAGAAACCCTATACAGAGTCGCTATTAGTTGGAACCAACTCCACCACCATAGGACTGTCTGGTGTGGCACTGTAGGATAAGCAGTAGCAAGCAAGGTCGATTTGAACTACAAGTTGGCAGTTCAAACCCACCAGCTACTCCTCAGTAAGATGGATTGACACAGTGGCTACAACAATGGACTCAAACACAGCAACAGTCGTGAGGGTGGCACAGGACCAGGCAGTGTTTCATTCTCCTATACATAAAATGTCACTATGAAAGGCAACACAACAGATGGGACAAATAAACAGCGAGTAGTAGTAAGATGGTAGATTTAAATTCAAATATAGCAGAAATTATATTTATTGTAAATGAGCTACAATCTAAGAAACAACAATTACTAGAATATATATTTTTTAAATGCTTTCTGCTGCTTTTAAGAGACATATAAAATATAAGGAAAGAAAAAGATGGAAAATAAGAGTAGAAAAAACATACCATGCAAAAGTACCTTAAAAATAAATATTTTCCCTGTATTAATATTCAAGTTGATTTTAAAGTAAAAAGCATTACTAGAGATAATGGACACACTTCATAGCAAGAGGTTCATTTCACAAAAGATGATTCTTTTTAACCAAAGAGACTTACTAAAGGAATATAGAACTGACTAGACATTTGAAAATTTATCACATTAGCAAAATAAAAAACAATATGTAAGTTCACTATACAAAGAAAACGATTTTATAAATGTAATGCACACTTTATGACTTTAATAAAAACGCTCAGCATGTTATAATACAAAGTAACCTTTTTGAATATGTATCTTAAAAATACTGAGGGTTTTTTTCCCTCTTAGAGCAGGAAAAACAAGGATGCCCACTACTACCACTTCTATTTAGTGGTGTACTAGAGGTCCTTGTTGTTAAGTGCCATTGAGTCAGTTCCAACCCATAGCAACCCTGTATAATGTTTCCGAGGAGCTGCTGTTGAGCTTGAACCTCCGACCTTGCAATTCAAACGACTTTGCAATCTGGTGCATTAACTCACTATGCCACACCAGGACTACTAGATAGTGCAAAATGACTAGAACAATCAGTAATAAAAATGTTAAAGGAACAAATTAGAACTATATTTTTTACAGGTGATATGATTAATATACATACAAAATCTGAAAGAATATACCGATAAGCCTTTTAAATTGTTAAATTTAGAGGTCACTGGTACAAGATTGTTGTTGTTGCAAGTGCCATCTAGTCGAGTCAGTTCCAACTCATAGTGACCCTGTATAGGGTTTCTGAGGTTTTACATTCTTGTAGGAGCAGGAAGCCTTATCTTTCTCCCACAGAGTGACTGGAAGGCTCGAACTGTGGACTTTGTAGTTCGCAGTCCAGTGCTTATCTTATGGAGCCACTGCACTGCCTGGTATAAGGTCATTATACAAAAATTAATTAGAAACTGAAAAAAAAAATTTAACGATACTATTTTGGTTGTTGTTAAGTGCCGCAGTTCCGACTCATAGTAATCCTACATAGGGTTTTCCGAGGTGCAGGTGGTGAGTTGGAATCATCAGCCTTGCAGTTCAAACCAACCTTATGGTCAAGTGTTTATCCTATAATGCCACACCAGGTACTAGTGATACATTTACAGTAGTACAAAAAACAAAATATCATGTGCTGTATCAAGTTGGTTGCCACTTATAGCAACCCTGTCTACACCACAACAAAATACCGCTGAATCCTGCTATCTTTGAGCCCACCCTTACAACCACTATGTCAATCTATCTTGTGAAGTGTCGTCCAGGGACCGGTCCTTTTGACAGCATGCCCTCCATGTTACTATCCTCCCTTTTAAGGAACATTCTGACTATACTTCTTCCAACACAGATTTGTTCATTCTTCTGGCAGTTCAAGGGAGAGAATTCAAATGCATGGATTCTTTGTCATTCTTCCTTATTCATTGTCCAGCTTTCATATGCAAATGAGGTTATTGAAAATACCATGACTTGGGTCAGGCACACCTTAATCCTCAAGGTGACTTCTTTGCCTTTTTAATATTTTAAAGAGATTTTCCAGACTGCTGCATCCATGAATGTTGATTGAGTTGTTGTTAGGTACCTTTGAGTTGATTCCGGCACATAGACCTTATACACAACAGAACAAAACACTACCTGGCCCTGTGCCTTTCTCACAATCCTTGTTAAGGTTGAGCCCATTGCTGCTGCCACCAACCTATCTCGTTGATTCCACCTTACCTAGCATGATGTCCTTCTCCAGGGATTGGTCCCTCCTCCTAATATATCCAAAGTATGAGAGACAAAATCTCCTGACATCCTGGTTTCCAAGAAAAGAAGCATTCTGGTTATACTTCTTCCAACATAGATTTCTTTGTTCTCCTAGCAGTCTATTTAATATTCTTCTTAAATGCATCAGTTCTTCTATGGTCTTCCTTATTCACTGTCCAACTTTCACATGTGTAGGAGGCTATTGAAAATACCATGGCTTGGGTCAGGCACACTTTAGTCCTCAAATTGACATCTTTGCATTTGAACACTTTAAAGAGGTCTTGTGCATTTGAACACTTTAAAGAGGTCTTGTGCTGCAGATTTGCCTAATGCAGTATGTCATTTGATTTTTTTGGGTGCTGCTTCCATAAGTGTTCATGGTGGATCCAAGGAAAATGAAGTCTTTGACAACTTCCATCTATTCTCCATTTTTATATGTGTTGTTGTTTACTGGTCCAGTGGTGAGGATTTTTGTTTTCTTTACATTGAAATGTAATCCATACTAAAGGCTGTTATCTTTGATCTTCATCAGTAAGTATTTTAAGCCCTGTTTGATTTCAGAAAGCAAGGTTATGTCATCTGCATATTTCAGGTTGTTAATGAGTCTTCCTCTAATACTCATGTAACATTCCTTCTTCATATAATCCAGCTTTTTGGATTATTTGCTCAGCATACAGGTTGAATAAGTATAGTGAAAGAATACAACCCTGGCACACATCTTTCCTGATACGAAATCCTTTTTTTGTTGTTTTGTTTTTGCCATTTGAACACATAATATCAAAATTTATTAATAACATACTTATCTTTTTTTTTTCTAAGCTGCAATCTTTATAGAATCAGATAGTTAGGTCTTTCTTCTGTGGTGCCACTCTGTAGGTTCAAGCTACCAACCAGTAGTTCAGCATCAACCATTTGTGTTACCCAGGGATCTTAGTCCATGTGCTAGACCCAGCAACTGTGTGTGTCTCTCTCTACCACTGCCTCTGCCATCGTCTTTGCAGTTGCTGCTTCTCTAGGTAGGGGTCTCACTCTCCACTTATGCTCTTCTTTCTTGATGGCCCTTGGATCATCTGTTCCCGAAATGAAAGATTAACTACTCCCCCTTTTAGTCACACATCTTCTACAATTACAGTTGAGTCACAAAATCCTATCATTATCATCCCCCATCTCCTTTCACCAGCTCCAGCTGGAAAACTATTCAGTGAAGATTCTACCTTACCCACCTCATTCTGAAACTGAGCACATTCATGAAAGCTTGTAATCCAGCCACTTCATACCTTTACAACATCCCCATTTATAATAGCCAACTAAATTGCATGCCCCTATCGTGTCTGGGGAGTCCTGGTGTGGCACTGTGGGTTAATTCACCAGACTGCAAAGCTGTTTGAACTGCCGGGCTGAAAGTTCAAGTTCACTAGTTGCTCCTTGGAAATCCTATACAGGGTCGCTATGGGTCAGAACCAACTCGACGGCACTTAACAACAACAACAACATCATGCCTGGTGTGGTGCTGTGGGCTAATGCATCAGACTGCAAAGTCATTTGAACTGCAAGCTGGTTCAAGCTCACCAGCTACTCCTTGGAAACCCTATACAGGGTCGCTATGGGTCCGAATCGACTTGACAACACTTAAAAACAACAACAATCGAGGAAATAAGCTTGTTCCATGATATGAAAAATCCTTCCATTCTGGTTGGAATTCTGAGCAGCTTCATCCATAAGCATATTCTGGAACACTTAATTGTACTCATGAGGAACCTGTACATAGACCAAAAGGCAGTTATTCAGACAGAATAAGAGAATGCTAAATAGTTTTAAATTAGGAAAGGTGTGCGCCAGGATTATATTCTTTTACCATATTTATTCTGTATGCTGAGCAAATTATCCAAGAAGCTGCATTATATGAAGAAAAACATGGCATCAAGATTGGAGAAGGACTCATTAACAACCTATGATATGCAGATGATACAACCTTGCTTGCAGAAAGTGAACTGTATTTAAAATATTTACTAATGAAGATCAAAGACCACAACTTTTGGTATTGGTTGCATCTCAATGTAAAGAAAACAAAAATTCTCACCATCAGACCAATAAACAACATTCTTATCAATGGAGAAAAGATTAAAGTTTTCAAAGATTTCCAACACTCATGGAAGCAGCAGTC